AATAAATAAATAAATAAATACGGTAGCTGTTAAGTTGAAGATGAATTGATGGCACATGACAACAATGTATTTGGAAGAATTAAAAATGCCCTTGTGAAAGAAAAGTCATTTCATGTAGACAAAATACAACAGAGGCTAGAAGGAAGCATTACAGAGGAATAGAAAATGACTTCCATCATTCCAAGCATGTTGTTTTTTGGTTTTGATTTTTTTTGTGCACAATATTGTCACAGCTGTTCTTAAGGAGGTTGAAATCTCTCAGAGCTGCCAGATGATAAGAAACTTTGAAAGAGATCATGGATCTAACAGGAATTACAACGGGAACTAAAGGTTATTTAAGGATATTTAAGACTTACCTTCACAGAACGTTCTCAGTCAAAATTTCTCCTGACTAGAACTGTCTTGCTATCATAGCAAGCAACCTGACTAATTAAGTGAGCTCCTGGTATCTAGTTTAAGGGGCAAAACTGTGACTTTCTTCAGCACAAAATACTGTCTGTACATGAACTTCTCCTAGCTATAAGAGATGTTAGAACTGAAAGGCTTAATGAAAGAAGCTTTTCACTGAGCTATGCCAAAAACAAGTTAACAGCTAATCCCCACTACAAATAATAACAACACACACACAGAAAAATACAATAGATTACAAAATACACTGGTTATTTTCTAGTTATCTTATGTGTATAATAGAGGTGTTGTATGCAAGAGGCAATTCTTCCATCTATGGAACAAGTCCCTACAGGGTACTACTATTAACAAAATCCAAGACCCAGGCTCATCTTTTACATTCTTCCAAAGCAGATATTATATCAGGTCTAGCGTAACCAAATAGGGGATTATCAATCTGGAACACTTGTGGAAGAAGGAAGGGCAAAGGGCAACATGATGCTGTTGATGTACTCTTCCCAACCCAGCCTATCTTTTGTGATTGCCTCAGATAGAGAACAAGGAACTGAATAATAGCCCCTCGTATGCTTCTGTTTAGTACAGAATATAAATACTGCCAGTGAGGAGTAATAAAGGAGACTAAAAAAGCCACAGCACTTTCAAAGATAAAGGGGGTATGGAACTATTATTTAACATCAGCCTTACAACCACTTCAGAGATGGTGTAGGATTACAGGTGTAAAGGCCTTCTTGAATTGGGATGGTTGTTTCTTAATACTCCCTTGACTGGACAAATGCAAACTTGGCAGCAGAGTAAGACACCAGGAGCACATACACAGATTTGGAGAGAGGGATGAGTGCATTATGAGAGCTTAACATGACAAGCAAGGAACCCAAAGCAACATAACCTCTGGGCCTGAAACAGATGAACTGAACACCACTTTTCTTCTTTAAAGTAGAAGCAGACCTGCTTGATTATGTATAGCCTGAAAATGCTGCAATGTATGGTAAGCACACTTCCACTACTTACCTGAAATTGATTTCATTTGGTCACTAGCTTGTACAGCAGTTTAGCATATTGAATCAAGTTAAAAGCAACTCCAGAGATGCAAACTGTAGAACTGTGAAGGCTAAACATTGCTGGGATAGAAGGCGGTACCTACAATCCACTCAAGCTCCAAGAGAGAGCTGATAATCTGCAAACTGTGCTGGGAGCATAATTGGGCCACCTCTCTCTTCCACATAATGACTGAGTAACTAACCTGGATAGTTCCTCTGTCAGACAAGACACAGCAACAGAAGCTTTTCTCCTCCCTGCTCTAATATCTTAAGTCAAGGAATATATTCACTCTTCTTAGTCCTGGACAGCAGGAAGAAACAAGCTAGCGGCCATTTCTCCTGAGTTTGGACCCTGGGAAAAGGAAAAAGTAGCAGTGGCTTCATTCTTGCCTGGTTGAGTAAGTTCTGAGAGATTATAACCTATGATTAACTCCTACTTAACAGCCTGGATTTGATGAACGCACATGAAAAGCCATGCTGAATCAGTCCAAAGGTCCATCTAGTCTAGCACTCTGTACACATGGTGGCAAATCAGCTCCCAAAAGGATTCCTGAAGTAGGATGGGTGCAAGACCTTCTGCTGCCCAAGCTCCTCAGCAACTGGTGAATGCAGGCATGCCACCTCAGGTAAAGAGGGTATCACATAGCCAAGAAGGCTAGTAGCCACTGATAGTCTCCTCCTCCATGAATCTGTCCTATCCCTTTTTAAAGCCACCCAGATTGGCAGCCATCCCTACTTCCTGGAAATTCTGTAACTATATGCTATGTGAAGAAGTACTTCCTTTTCTCTTTTCCCACCAATCAGCTTCATTGAATGATCCCAGGTTCAAGTGTTATGGGAGAGGGGGGAAATGTTTCCCCCTCTACTTTCTCCACACCATGCACTATTTTAAACATATCTGTCATACCTTCCCTTAGATTCCCTTTTTGTGAGCTGAATAGTCCCAGTTGTTGTAGCTGCTCCTCATAAGTGATTTGCTCAAGACCTCTGATCATTTTTGTTGTCCTTCTCTGTACTTTTTCCAATTCGAAAATGTCCTCATTCAAGTGAGGTGACCAGAATGGGACACAAGATTCTAAGCATGGTCATACCAAGGATTTGTATAAAGGAAGTAGGATCTCGGCAGTTCTATTTTCTATTTTGTTCCTAAGTATGCCTTGCATGGAGTTTACCTTCTTCACAATAGCCACACACTGGGCTGACATTTTCATCAAGCTGTCCACTACTACCCCAAGATCCCCTTCATGCTCGGTCACTGCTACCTCAGATACCATCAGCATTTAATTGAAGCTGGGAATTTTTGCCCCAACATGCATTACTTTACACTCACTTATATTGAAATGCATTTGCCATTTTGATGCCCATTCTCTCAGTCTGCAGAGATCTCTTTGGAGCTCCTTACAAACCCTTATAATTATAATCATCCTAAATAGTTTTCTGTCATCAGCAAATTTCACCACTTCACAACTTACTCCTAATTCCAGGTCATCTATGAATAGGTTGAAAAGCATTGGTCCTAGCACAGAATGCTGAGGGACTCCTTCTCCTCCCCATTGGAAGAAGTTGCCATTTATTTCCACCGTCTGTCTTCTATTCTCTG